CGTAAAGCATATTAAGTGTTTTAATTAACCTTTGACATGTTAGATTAACTTGCAAGAAAGTTATTTCATATAGATTTCCTATTCTTTTTTGTCAGTGGTTGCATTTTCTATATAAAAAATATGTGAATCATTTCGGAATAGGCTTTTAAGCAACTTCCTATCCATCTTTTTTCTAATTATTTTCAGAGCTCTATATGTGACAATAAATTTAGTAAATTTTACATAACATAGCACGCTTAATATTTTTCTTTTAGAAATTTCAACTGTCTAATGGATTCCTTTATGAAGATAAATTTTCAATTTGATCTCTCTTTCTTGATTTTTCCGTTGCAGTGTTTGCTGTATAAAACGACTATAAATATCTATATGCGGACGTACTTATGCAATCTTAATATATTATTTAGTACCTATTATACAGAGTATACATGTATACAATATATTACATTGTATTTATTTATACCGTTTCAAGTATACACAATAAAGGCTTGCTAAAAATTGCATTTTCTTCTTACCGCCATCTATTGTTGATGAGGGAAACTATCATTACGTCTCAGTATATTTTCATGTAGAATATAATGAAGTATAAAAACTGTGTACACAATCCATTTATAATTTATTACTATATAAGTTTCTATGTAGAATGTTTGAAGTTATTTAGATAAACGTACACACAAGCTCTTTTATTCATTACCATGAATCTCTTAGGAAAATATACAAGACTAGCAAATAAAAACAACTGAACTATGATTAAATATAGGCCAAAATTATTATCATTATCTTGATTCATATTGAATAATTTAGTATAAACATATGGTGTGATAAATAAAAATTAAGCCTACTACACTCATTTTGTACATTTATAATAAACAAATATATATGTATAAAAAGGACAAAAGATGAAAGTAAATAAAGAGAGAAAGAAAGAGCCAATGAAAGAGCTTATGAATGAAGATACACTATAAATATAGTAGTTTTATTTAATTATTACAATACGACAGTTATATTTCATTTTATTTCATGTATATTTGTATTATATTTTTGGAGAAAAAGAGAAATATTCAAAAGGCGACGGCGTCTTCAATTTCATTTTCGATTTTGATTTCAATTTCAGAGTTGTTTTATTTACTTTTTCTTTAGATATCGTCCACGTAATCTGGGAGAAATGACAAAACTTGCATTTTCTAGCACATAAAAGCTGGCTACGTAGAATATATTCAATTACTTTCATTTACTAAGTTTTAATCGTTTATTTATCATGTTATCTTACTTTAAAATTAGAAGATGACTAAGTTTAAATGAAATAACTAATTAGCATAACTAATAAACTACCTACGCTTTCTTTTACAGAAACCTTCGTCCATTAGGCAGGCATATTTTCCAAATACACATTTCTTTCATTTGTTGAGCTTGCTTTTTCCATATTCTTCTACGCCTTAGCGGATCTCTGTAGGCGGCGTCTAACGTAAAAAGAATACGAAAGAATTTAATATAGAAGTTTATTTCTTGTAATAATCTTAATAGTTATTTTTCCATTTAATAAGAAATTACGGTATGAGACAACTCTTATAATTAGAATTATAATACAATTATATACTTTCTTTTATAGTATATTTAACATATTCGTAAACTTATTAGTATTATTAATCTACTACAAATTTATGTCTCTACAGTTACACTGTAAATGATAACTTTGACAAACATTGTATAGCTTTTAAAAACAAGATGATGCTTTATTTAATGAAACCTTTACCATTAATATTAATTATGTATTAATAACAAATTTGTCTGACATTACTCAAAGGTATTTTACAGTTATATATATAAAAAAGAAAGTCTAAGCTTTTTAATTAATATGGTTAATATATTCAGAATACTTTTACATATTATACGCTATATATTCTTCATATAATTTACCTATTTAGAAGTATTATATAGTATAATATAGTACTTATTTTTATAATTGTATGAAAACTCAAAATAAGGTATCCTTAGAGAATTCCCTTCGTAAAACATCCTCATCTTTATGCATAGTATGTTATAAAAGCCCTAACAATAAATTGCTATAATTGTAAAAATTTATTAACTATTGTTAGAATTACAAAAGAGAATAGTTGAATGAATATAGATGAAAAAGATGGAAAGAATGTATAAGTAGGAAAAGTTATTTTTGAAGATCTGTTAGCTACTAGCTATTGTACTACAATTGAAAATTTAATGTAGTTAACTAGTTTTTATCTATCATTTTATGAAAATTATTTTCTTTATAGAGAAAGAAGAGGATAACAATATAATTTTAAAAGTAAAGTAACACTTTATTGTTTTTAATTCCTCTATTTAGTTTTTCACCATATTTATGCAAATCTCTTTAATATCTTAAGTTTACTTGTTCTCTTAAGATTTGCAGTTGACTTCTTGTAACTAAAATTTGTATCTAATTAACCTCCTAACTAAAGAAAAGGTTAATGAATAAGACATAGCCTCCTTAAAAAAATTACATGTTAAAAGTAAATAAATAACATGCTCGTGTTTTTTATATCTATATATTTATATACGTTAAGATATATATATAGATAGACAGACAAAATACTATATAATTACATATAAACATAAGTACTTATTTCTTGTTTTACTTACTTACCACCCTTACACTATCCTCCAAACCAATAAAATTACGATTATTAAACCCATTCCATTTTATCTCCAGGGTTCCTGTCGCAATCCGAACGTATTGAGACAATACTATGATGAAAAATAAAACGGGGGTTATTACACAACGTTTCATAGTCGAGTGTCATCTGAACTGACTGAAAGTGATGCGTTAGTAAGACGCGGGCGTTTCTTTTGACTAGTTAATCAAGTTGTGACTGGCTGAGTTTGGCGGAAGTTAGTTTAATTAGTTGGAGAAGAATTTTGATTTATTTAATATTAATAATTGGCAAACTAATAATAAAGTTAAATAAAATTAGACTACTTCCGTACAAATTTATATGGAAAGTATAGGTGTGAACGCAAAAAAAGAGGACGGAAAAGAAAGTAAAACGATTAATTAGAGATTCTAATATAAAAGATTTCTGTTCTCCTTTCAAGCCAAAAGTTTGTTGTTTGAAACGTAAGGATGTAAATAAACTTGACTTGGAAAATATGTTATTCCAAGAAGTTATTTCTTTTATTTATCTATTCCTATCTACTATGAAAGTAGGGATATGAAATAGTAAGAAACAGTAAACAACTAACTTATAACCCAGATAGTATTTAGACATACTGATAAACTTTTGCAATCTCTTATAGCCTATGAAGTAGGGATTCATCAAATTTTATCATTTAAATTTGGCGTCAAAAATTATAATCCAGAGGTGTTTTAATAAGCATCTAGGTTCTTCTATAACACACGTGTTTGAGGTAAAATGCAAAACATCATCTGGCTTCAGTTATATCGCTTGTCCTTAATGTAAGATAAGTAGTCCCGTACAAGATAGTGTAACTGATAAAAGCCACTCTTACTTTTTTATGATAATATTTGAATATATTATTCAAATAAGTTGGACAAAATTAAAAAAGAGTGATGCAAATATGTCAACTAAAAACCGTATTTTCTCTTTCTTAGGTAAGGTAAGCCTGTTTTTAGAAATTTCTGATTAGGTTTTTGGTGGAATAAATAAATAAAAAAAGATTGTAGATTTCAGGATTGACAAGTGAAATTAAATATCTTTTCTGTTGAAAAGCTGTTTTTTTTCGGAATGGACAAACCCGTTGAATTGTATTCGGAATAAAGTTTGTTGAGACAAACTCATATACATTGAAAAAAAATAGACATTATAATTCAATATATGTAATATTAATATATATATATATATATATATGTAGAGATATATATTGAGAATATAGGAGAGTATACTGTTTATATTTTACTGTGACCATAAAACACTGCACATCGGAGAGTATACGTGTCTTCAAAGACTCGTCTCTCCTAATAAGTTACCACAACGACACATTTGTTAAAAAAGTATGAACACAACAATTGTGCAGGACTAGAACGGAATGTTATTTTAAAATAACAAAGAAACAAATCAACTACAACATCACCGTCTGTAGGCCTTTATTATTGTATAGAGTTTGCTCAAGTGTATTTTTTTTTGTAATTTTTTCTTTTTATCCGGTAATATACATACATACTTATACATATATATATATATAAACATATATATGTATATATAGATATATATATATATGTATATATAAAAATAGAAATATACACATATAAATATATAGATATATATGTATATATGTAAATACATAATGAATGCTATTTATAGACATAGAATTAAAAGGACTAGGTTAATAATTGAGAGAAATAGCTAATTAGGAAACTGTTTTGATAAAAATCTGCTCAAGAATGTCTTTGTTGATCTTAAAATATACAGTTTTTCTTTCTTCCTTAAATTAGAATTATTTTAAGATTAGTTTTTTGTTTTTTAACTCAAATTAACTTTAATTAGAGCATTTGATTTGTTTTTTCTTGATTGAACATTAAACATTTTCCTCAATTTTTTAATTAAACCTAATATCTATAATTCTTCCTGTTTCAATTACGATTAAGAACATTTGTAACGCAAAACATTATCATTTGCTTAGAATAAGTAAACAAATAAGATAACTAAATAAATAAATAATAATCAATTAAATTTTTATATAGATATAGATATATATATATATATATATATATTAGTATTTCTTGTCATTTGTTTGTAATAATCAACGATTTCCTTTTGAAGAATTATGAAAAAAAAAAAATATCAGTTTTTTTTCTTTTCAATTGTGCAGTTTCCCTTCTTTTGATATTTCTCTCTTTTTTTGTATAAGTATAATATATATATATATATATATGTTAGACACACCGAAAAAAACTTGTTTGAAACTGGGAGACAGCAGAGGCATGTGTTTTTTTTTAAATCTTTGTTTTTTTTTTTTTTTAACTTCTTCATTCCCTTTTGGGAATAGATTTAACTTTTTTCTGGCATCTCTTGTAGAGTATGCCATTGGGCAATAGGTCGACGAGGATTAGCTAACATATCGCTCCAGTGGCGTAGTTCAGCTCCAGTTGCGGTACATCCTAAAACAATCCTTCCGATTGGTTCGGACGTTCCTATACGATCGTAATCAACGACCGTAATGATAAGCGTCACTTTCTGTAAAATCAATGTGAACGAGTTCTATAAGTATGATAAACAGATAAGCTGTATAGCGCCATCTACTGGTATTGATACTTATTATTTTACATTACATCATTTAGGTATACATGCAGTATATATCTATATACACTAAGCCCTACTCGTTTTATTTAAGGTTAGCTATAGATTACCGAAAAAATTGGGACTAGTTTTCGGAGATATTAAATAATAGCTCATCAATATAAAAATAGGAAGTGTTGAAACATTTAATCATTTCTATTTTCAGAGCAATATTTATTACTGCAGGCTTTATTTTATATAGTGTACACAGTACTTCGGTTGATAAATAGATGCAAAAAATACTAGGTTTACTATCATTCTCTCACATCTTAAGAGTGAAGCTAGTTAATGATTCATAATAGAAGTAAAAAGATACTATTTATAAATCTTACCTGGATTTGTTCGAATGGCACTTCGAAAGTGAAGGATTCATTATAGTAAGGATTCAATGTGCATTTCTTAATGGTCGTCTTCTTCTTTTTAATTCTCTTTCCATTCATCATAAGCGACAGTTTGACGTAAGGATCTTTAATAGCATAGAATAAATCGTTAAATTTGGTCCCATTTGGGTTTGAATAAATATAGCAAGAATATCAAAGTTTATAAATATAGAAAATTTACCAGATAGGCCACCAACATCCATTTTCTTGAGATTTTTAGCTTCTAAAATGACAACTGTCAACTTTCCAGCCGTTGGAACGTAACGTAGTGAAAAGCAGATATCGCCAAGTTTGTTCTCCTGTTAATGAGTTAACAAAAAATCATTCAGATTGATTAGAAATGATATCTTTTTAATGTAAAAGCTAAAATGCTATCAGCTATTAACCATGCGCTAAATTATATGCTATATTAATTTAGTGCCAATTAAGAATTCTCTTTTTTTTATCATGATAACGTTAACAAAAAAGAAACCATGTATAAAATATAAAATTCTATTAACAGAGTTAATAATTAATATTTATGATTAATTAGTTAATTATCCTTTTATTTTTGTTTCTTCTTTGATAGCATCATCATTATATTTTTTCGTATATTTCTCTCTTTTTTTTTCTATTTTTCTCTTTATAAAGTTTTCATGTTTAAACATTGAATGCAATTTAGCTCTATAAATATATTGTTATATCTTTTTTTTTTGAATAACTCGTGCAAAACAATTGTGTGCTTTAAAAAGAAGAAAAAAAACCTCCAAAAATGAGAAAAGAAAAAAAAAAGGTGCCTTCTTAAACACAACAAATAATAAATTTCTATTCTAAATAAAGATAGAAATAAACAAAAAAAGAAAACTTTTAGCTTTAGTACGAAAACAAAAAAGCGAATTCTCTCCATTTATTAAATTATATATATATTTTTTTTTTTTTGCATATTGAAGCTACTAATGCCGCAAATAGATAACAGCCTAATATTGTTATATGTTACACACAGTTCCACTGCCGATTTATGTAGGAATGAACTATGCAGAAATAATCAATTACTTTATTATTTAGTTTTATCATGTTGATATAAAAATATATCTTTATAGGCAATTTTTTTAATATATTTCATTCTTTGTAGCTTTTATATATTCAAGTCTATGCTTATTAATTATCCCTCTATACATTCATCCTCTAGTTGAAGCTAGTAATAAAAACAAAGCTGTAATTAATTTGCCTGTTTTAATTAAATAAATAATTGAATTATCGCTGATTTATAAACACAATTGAATAAATAAGTAATTGTTCTTAGTCATTATTGCATTCGTTTATCCTCTCATTTCTTTTATCATTTTGATTGCTATCTCTTTTTGTTTTCTCATTATATTATCTTTTACAATATGTTTAGAAACATAAATAGAAATGAAAATTAACAGTAGATTGATTAGGTCTGTAGTTCATCCTTTGAGATTTTTGGGTGCAGAGGATATTTTACTTACCATGTGGGAGAAATAAACCAATTAACGTTTACGGCACCGAGTTAACAATATGCAACACGAACTAAGTTTAAGAATGTAAAAAAAATCGCTTGCCAATTTTTTTCTTTCTTTTTTAATTATAATAATTATTTTTTTTTTAATTATATATAATAAGTTAAATATATTTTACATAAATATATATAAATATATCTTTCTTTTCTTTTGTTATTAAGATAAGTGAAATATTTTCATTCTTTTTTTTTTTGTCTTTTTTTTTTTGAAATATGAAAAGTTATATAAAATTTCATGCACTGATGATACTGCAGTTAATTTTATAAAAAAAACTTTTATAGGCGATTCTACAGATAAAGAGAATATTTATTTATATAATATAATTCATTTTCTTTTTAATTTAATCGTTTTCTTCATTTCCAATATAATATTTTATATACTTTGTCTTTTATCTTTCGCTCACTCGTTGTCTTGCTCTCTCTATATTCTTATATATATATATATTTATAGAAATATATTCTGATATTATGCTCTTACGTATGCTGTTTTTTTCCAAGAAAATCTCATTATTTCTTATCCTGCTCTTTGATTATTTAATTAATGATAAGTTTTGCAAGTAAATATTTTATTGCAAGTGGAATATCAATCCTATTTAATGAAAATCTGTATAATCGCCCATATTTTATTTTTGAATAGGGCAGAAGATAAAACGGGTAATAAGAAAAAGTTTCAATCACTAGTAAATTGAAGAAGAAGAATAATAAATGTAAAAAATAGAAAAGTTTTTCCCTTACCTTTTCAGATTCTGTATCAGGCGAAGTAAGATCTCTCCATTCTTCAACAACTTTACCAAGATCTACCGAATTCAACGGAACTTTAACTTGACCAATTTGATCGTGTTTGGAGAAACGATCAAAATCGTATACAGCGAAGGTTAATGTTTTTGACCCAATCTCGGCATACGGAACTTTGAACGTAAATGTTTCGTTGAAGACTGGGTTAAGTGTTTTTCTGTGAACCTTTGTTTCAAACTTCTTCTTTTTGTCAGGCAATAGATAGACTTTTACATATGGATCAGACGTTCCACTCATATCCATTCCTGGTAAGTCAGCTCCTTGCATGACTCCGACAGACAGCTACAGAAGTAATTAATGTTTTTTTAACCATGAAAATATATATGTATATATACTATATATAATTATTGTGCTATTTTTACTTACTTCTCCCTTCTGAAAATCGTAATCGAGCGAGAACTGCAATTTTCCTAAATTAACCTCTTCCTTTTCTTCTTCGGCGCCTTCATTATCTTCCATGTTTACTTCCAATTCTTCCATATCCGGTTGAACCTTTTCTTTATAGCTCGATCCCAGCAGTTGAACTGATTTTAAATCCACGGCTCCTTTTATGCCCTTCTTTCCTCCCTTGTCCTTCTTTTTCCTCCTGCAGCATCTTTTACAGACGCAAAACAAGATGGCTAGCAGAATAATAATAACCACGATGGCAATGAGAATACTAGCCCATATCGGTACTGAAATATAGAAGGTTATTTTAAATCGATATATTCTATTAATAAACTAAAAAAAATATCTGTTTACGTACTAGGCAATTCACCCAGCACTTTCTTGGTTGTATCCCAGGCATTTCCACTGCCACTCTCTTTAGGGGTTTCATTTGTGATACCCGTATCATCTACTGGCTCCTTTGCTAACTCTTCGTCAGTTCTCTCGCTAGCACGGATAACCCGATGGAAGTTCGGCATGGTCTAAAAAATAGATTAAGAATAATCATTTAGAAAAATATTGAAAGATGAAACTAAATTGATAGCAAAAAAAACTTCTAAAATAGAACATTGACTCCACTTCGTTTACCTTTACTTAAAGAGCAAAAAAAAATGAACAGCTGGATAAAAGGAAGCGTTTCAAATTCTCCTTTTTTAATATATTCACATAAAAAACACAATTCGAAAATATTAAATTCAATTTTTACTTTCATCCTATTATTCTACGCATTATTATTTTTTCTTCCAGAGAAGAGTTTCAATGATTTATTGATGGAAAAAATAATTGATACATAGCATAAACTAATGACTATGTGTCTTTCTACTGTCTCCCCCCTTTCTCTCTCTCTCTCTCTCTCTCTGATAAATGAAATATTAATAGACGTTGCGGTTGACCAATGCCATATGTTAATATATATAGAAATAGTATAATTCCAAGTTTTAATGTTTTAATATTTTAGTCGTTTACTATTTAAAGACTATTCAAGGACGTTTGAATTATTGTTAAAATATGTAAATTATATTGTTTATCTTATTTTATGTAAGTAAGTACCAACATATAATCATTTACAGCTGTGACATAAAAGAAGAAAAAATCAAAGAACTCAACATGCCAGAGCAAATATTTTGTTTGATTTGAAATGAATAACTGTAAGTGATTAGAAAAAAGAAATTAGTGTCATAAATCGTGTTTATAAATGTTAAAAATGTAAGGATATCCCTAGCTATATATATATAATATATATAATGTATATGTATATATAGTATATATCTATATATATATATAATCATATTGTTTTAGAGTCAAACCTCTTGACAAATTCTTATCAAGTGAAGGACCATTTGCTATAAAATGTGTACATAAGATTTTATAAATAAAAGAAATAGTATGTAATAAATATAAGATTTCCATTTTTATACCGATACATCACTAGAATATTTTTTAGGTAAGGTGAACACAAGATAGTATTTAAATATAAAAGATAATTGTCTCACTCCTCTCACATTTCTGGCTTCGTCAACTTACACTGAACTTATAGAATTATTAGTCGTTACTTTATAACCACCCCCTCACTTTTCTTGTTTGTAAGCGTCACTTTACCGAAGTAAATGTATGTTGCATATGCTTACAATATAAAACTCGACTTTCTGTTTATAAAACATTGTTAGAGCAATTGCTAGAAAAAAGAAGACACGAATACAAGATTTTACATATTAGGCATGAAATTTGCAAGGAATATTTATAACCATATAGGGAATAATTAATAAAAACAGCCCACGACTCTGAGGCTTTTAATTATAAAATGGATACGAAATTCTTATGGTCATGAATAAATCGATGATAAATACTGTGGCTACGTTTCTCTTTAGTTAGATTTTTTCAATTTACCTTTCATAATTCACCAATAAGAGAAAAATTAAAGTAGATATGAACTTATCAACAGTCTTAATTAGTCAATTATTATATATAACAACAGATGTTGCCATATTTTATAGTATTTTGAGATCATAAGTTGATCATTCAAAGCTTTTATTGTACGGAGAATTGTTCTTTTCCTAGTTGGAATCATTAGTAGCAAATTACGAATAAAATTAAGTATGAATTCATTAAATTCATATTATTATATCCTACTTTATATATTAAATGTAATTACTGAACGATAGAGTGGAGAATCGACTATAAAAATTAAATAAAATTTCTCTCTAACTAGAAAAGAAACAAACCTCGTCTCTCAATTTCAAAGAGGACCTTTAATTGTGATGTCTTAAAGCAATAACTTCATGAACATCTTACCAAACATGGAATCCGCGACGCCGCATTGGATTATGGGTAATATATGATCGGCATAATGTGTCAGCAATGCCATCTGCAAAAGTTTGCAGTGTTCGCCATCTGTAGATTTATTTGGAGACCAGTTTCATCTTTAAATTGGTTTCGGCTATAGACTACCAATGTAAACTATTTCATTTCATCTTTTAATGAATTGCTTTGGATAAGTATCAACTCCTTAACAAAAAAGAAAAATGATTTTGTTGGCAAATCTAGACATCCCGCCACCTATAGATATTTCCATAGAAAGATCGATATCAAAATCGTTTTGATTGGTGATCGACCGAGACTTGCTTTTACTCGAAATGCGTAAAGTACCAAGGCGTTCTGCAACAGCGACGTCTAATTCAATTCTGGAACTTTTTGCAATCGCCTCCTTCGTTGAAGAGGCTTTTCTTTTCTGCAGGAAGAGAACATTTTTCTTACAAGATTTTAGAGCATTTGTTTTTTAGAGTTAATTTTACTGAATTGTGGCGTTCCTGGTGGATAAAAATGGGATTTTTCTATTTTTAGAATAGTCAATTATGGTATTTTTTCGATTTAGCGTCCAGGGGTTTATTTTCCAAGACTCGTTTCGCATGAGTGGTCCTGTAACTTGAAAGTGCTTAAAAGTGAAAAATTTCAACTGAATGATTTATTCTTATTCACAGAAATTCCCCTATTTCTAAAAATAACCCAAAAAAGATAAATAGATATATAGATACAAAACAAAAGATGGAATAGGAGTGGGAGAAGAAGAAAGAAAGGCCAATTAAGACTGTTTTTCTTTTTTGAAATAGGGGAAAGGGTAAAAGAGAAAAGGGACCTAAGATAGATGATATTGAAAGCTTTATCGAAAAAAACTACTTAAAGAGATATTATATTGACGACTATTAATTAAAAAAGAAAGATAAGATTTTATAAATTGGTAGGTGAGAAGGAGAGAAAATATTCATCGATGTTACTATAATTTCATTACAAGTCAAAATTGCGAACAAATAGTAAGAATGATTCATTTGGTAGTCTTATCCATTTTTTATGCTTAACATTTTTATATTTGTATCGTTTACGATACTATATGTTTACAAGTTTTTTTTCGTTTGATTTTATGTAAAAATGAATGTAGAAAATATATACACTGTATGTATAAAGACATAGATCTACATATATATACATATATATATATTTATTGCTTATCTATAGGTATTATACACACCATATTGGATTTTTATACAAAAGAAGACTTGTATAAAAACATGATAATTAAGAAATTTTTATAATTCATAAGAGTTTTCTATAAAATAAGGAATTTATTTAATAAATAATTAACTTTTAATTCTATTCTTGCATAAGATTTTTATCATTACTATTATTTCTATAAGTAGATATATTCGATTTCTTCTTATCCTATCTACCGTATCCTTTTTTTTTGCTTTCTTCCTTCTCTCTATCCTCTATTCTCTTTTTTTTTTGTTCTTTTCTTAAAAGCTTTCTATTTTATTTATTTACTTAAAATGTCGATCAGCATCGGTCAGGTTTTTTCTCTTTTAAGAAAAACAAGAGACCAAGTTGGCGAATAAACTGATGAGAATTAACTTTTCCTTCAACGATTTTCATTTTATACCTTTTTGCATTTGAACTCTATGTAATTTAGTCAAAAGCTTTAAGACGAATTAATTATATTATATATGATAATAGACGTCTCTTTCTATAAGTAAACTTTTGCGGGGCTCTTTTAAAGGCTTTCTCTTGCCTTTTCCAACACTGTTATTTCCATCTTACTTCTCCTTTAATCAATTAAATTGCATATTCCGGTTCTGGGTCATCAAAAAGACAAAACTGCAACTATTATGTATAAAAAAACTGAAGACTATCCTTAAAGATTGGAAGAAGATGTTAAGAATAAAAATCGAATAACAACAGAAGACCAATTTATCTAAGAATTTTAATTAAAAAATCATTAAATTAGTAGATTGAGAATTTTAATGATTTTCGTGCAGTTTATGCTTTATTGTACAGTTTTTGTTTTCTTTGTCTCCTTTTTTCTTTTGTTTATTTATAAAATAAATCTGTTAAAAATTTGAATTCGAGTCTTTTATAAGAGTCTTTCACTATTTCAAACTGTTAAGTAAAAATATAGATTTAAATGAAATACACATTAAAGTTCTTATCATTTTTCTACATTTTCTTTTCTTTTTATTTCATCCTTTTAGTCAATATTTTTTGTCTTTTGAGGAAAACTAAAAAGAAATAAAAGGCTAAACCTCCCTTTCTTTATTGTTCGGTCAATTTGTGAAGGAAGAAACTTTTTAAACGTAAACATATACTATATCTTTTAAGTTTCTCTTCAGTTGAATTATTCCTTTTACAGAGTGAAAAACTTTCAAGTCGATGTAGTAAATAGTAGAAAAGAGCGAAAAGAGAGACTTTTTCATCGGTTAATTAACTCACCGGAAATCCTGTTGATCCCCTTATTATATCTTTTGTTGTGCTTTTATCAATAAATTTTGTAGTAAAGTGTTATACAACTTTAAGTAGACTCTATTGAAATATATTTATTTTTGTTTTGTATTGTGAACTAAAACCAGTAAATAGTCTTGGTAAGGTTAATCTCCCAGGTTTTGACAATAATTCTTATATTAACCTTTCCAATAATCTTTATAGTGTTAATGCCAATTATAAACTTTTTCTCATTATGATCTATAATTCTAGAGAGAATAGTACTAACTTTCAAGAGAAAGAAAAGGTGCCGCCATCTACAAAGAACTAGACGATAAAACACCCTAAGGTCTAATTATGCTTTTCTAGCATAATTAAAGCGATTTTATATGTAAAAAATATCAGTCAGAGAGATATTTTCTTGTAAAATATGCATCGAATGAGATATATTAGGCACAATAATAATTTGGTAGTCTAAATTAACGATGTTTCCTGTGGTGGAAAAAGAAAAAAAACTAGATAAAGTATTATGCATTTAAGCAATGATAATTCAACTTGTATTCTAGAAATTCAATCAGAATCCTTCTGGAAGATGGAAAAGGAACTAAGGAAAAACAAGCACATAAAAAATGCTATTAGGATGAACGACTTACGACTTACGACTTACTTAAAGATTCAGCTGAAATCCCTTTTTCAAGTTTCTTCTTACGAGTAAATATGCCCTCCAAGGAGTTAGATGAAATAGTATAAAGTAGTGTAGTTCTTATCTGAATCTTTACTAAGATTCTAATAGTTATCCCATCTTGTCTCGTAATTAACCAAACGCCGCCTTATTAATTATTTCTGACGGCGTACGAAAAGCTATCGAACTATTGATCGCTTACCCTCGCCATGGGCTTTTTACGTTCCGTATACAGACGCCTCATTGGCCGTTTTCGACGCCGCGAACGTGAGGGGAATAATAAGACCGTCTTCGACCTTTTTTCTCGCCCAACCGCAAATTTCATCCATCACCCACAAATTGAGTGGAAATGTCAAAAAAACGAAAATATTTATTAAAATAATATCAGTTATTCATTCAACTACTGCTTTCATGCCTACTTCAAAAAATTGAATAGAATGAAGGAGATCAGAGGAAACCAAGAATTGAGTTAGAGGCGTATCAAAAAGGATGATTCTATAGATGAAGAAAGAAACGCCTCACCAAATCAATTTCGATTTTCTTTTCTTTAAAAGAAAGTAAAGAATGAAAAAAAGTAGAGTCTCGTTAAACGAAGAAGGTTCGAAGTGGAAAAATAGAAATTTTGTAAAAAAAAATAACAGGCTATTAGCTTTCCGCCTTTCATGTTTCTCGGCGACGCTCCTAGACGCGGTCGAGAGGCCGCCGACAAAGCAGAAATCCATTTAGTACGGAAATGATTTTTTCGCTTTAGCGCTTCAGCTGTAAAACAGTTCTACTGCTTCATGACCGCCGGTCATCATACTAGGTTGTTAACAATAGACGCAAAATTTTTGACGCCACGTTATTGCAGGTGAATAAGTATACGCTTATTGATCGGGTTTCCGTTGGCAACGCGTGGTTTGTCGACAAACTGCACTCGGCGATTTGCTCGATTATTTGTTATACGGCGGGTGAATATTTTAAATATCACTTCGTCTAAAGTAATTCTCAGGAATTTATCACTTTCATCTTATTTTTGCTTACTTTTTTATTATTAAAACGAATATGTGCACTCGTTGACCCTTGTCGCTATTCATTAGCCACCACGGAGGTCTCTCGAATAGGAATTAGGAAAAGTGGAAGGAAACGGGATATTTCCTGGCGGTATTCTATTTTTCAGATAAAGTAATACTCCCTCGTTTAAAATATTTTTCTTTTTCTTACTTTTCTCATTCAAGTACTTTTATTCTCTCATTCATTTCTTTCAGACTTTCCAGCTGTCTTTATACATTAATTACAATTTTCACTATAAAGAAATTTCAAATCGATCAAAAACTTTTAATTAGCTTAGCCAAACTATATAGATAGACAATAAGTACAAATTTAATGACATCCTTACACAGATAAAAAAGTTTTGTAGGCCTATTTTAAAAGAAGGGATGAACTTGAAATAACATAATAATGAGCTTCAATTTACCTGTTTTTACAATATAATTATTTATATATTATAGTAATAGTTGTTTGTTTTATAAACAAGAGAAAATAAGCGATGGGTATATCATATGATATAGTGAAAAAATGTATACAGTGTGAAAGTATAAGGTATTAGCAGATATATACAGTATATATATATACTGTTTATACTCTAAATCCAAAACAAACAAACAGAATGTTTTGTCATATAATTTACATATTTACAAATTGTAATTTACATTTGTAATACTAAAACCTTTTTTCTTGTTTTTTTGTTTTGCTTATATAGTACTGAGGAAGTCTAAAAATAGATCGAAATAAAAACCCGAGTGATCTGCGTTAATAATTTAATTCCCTTTGAATTTATTTAGCAATCATTTTGTTTAGAGCATCATTAGAAATAGGAAATTATATATTCTAAAGTTTTTTATTAGATAGTCTTATAACTACTCGAAGATTTATTATAATAATTCGCTGTTGACTAATTACCATTATTGCAATACGGGAAATGATTAATAACTATATTTCTTTTTAGCATGACTTCGTTACTAAGAAATTTCTTTTTTTTTTACTAAAACACAAAGTTGATAACGCTCATTACCGAAAAGGAAAAAAAACCTTCAAACATTAATTCAAAGTGTCCTTAACTCAATAAAATATTCTTAACATCCGCTTGTCTCAGTTATCAATAAATGACATTTAAGAGATAAATATGCCATCTTTCAGTTTGTGTATTCTTTTAAATGAGGAGAGAGCTTAGAGATATCTATGATCTTTAATTTTAAAAGATGATTTTATAATGACTATAAAAAATAATAGAATAATTCATTCTTCCTTGTATATTTTAATTAAATAGCGACTTTTATATCCTAGATATATAGTTTGTCTATATATATATATATATATATATATATATATACAGTATATTCTGCCTATTGTAGTAAACTTTTAGAAGCTATTTAGAAAGAGAAAGTAATAAAAAATTATAAAAGATATATATATATATTTTTATGAGAGATGACTGGAAAAAATTACATTCGTCAAATAGACCTACTACACCCACTAACAAATAGCATTTATTCAATTAAGATAGAATTTACGTCGCGTTCTCATACGTGTTCTAAGCCACCCCCATTAAGAAAAATAAAGATAAACTGAAATTAATCATATTACTATATTTTTTACCGATATGTAAAATTATTATACAATATATACATTTATATCTTTATATTTATACCCAAATATGTGGATATATATAGACATAGACTTAATTATATTTAGATAACAAATTTTATGTGTTTTATATCATAATCTTTATAATTATTTTATTAATAGAACTACGTTGTTCATATTTACATTCAGATGAATATCAAAGCTATCTTCCAATTTTCATCTTCTCTCTCTAGCCCTTTATCTTCGTCTTTCTATCTTTGTCTCTTTCACTCCCTTAGTCTATCTATTCATCTTGCTTTCTGCACATAAAATTTAAATGTCAAAATCATAAATCCTACTCGCGCAATATTTTCTAGCTGGTGACGCCATAGAAGTCTTTTTTCCTTTTATATTTTCCTTATTAGCATATCTCTTTAAATAGTTTATAATAAGGGTCTATTGCAAATGTATATACAAATTTATTATAGATTAATAAATAATTATATACATATTGAAAACAGCTGAATTAAAGATGCAAATTACTATAATTTTACAAGAGATTAACTAAAAAGAAATAAATTTAATAGAAAAAGAATTGACTGGTTTTTTAAAAAGATCATAATCCTTTTGTTGACATAACGAATATTAATAAACCAACCAAACTTTAGGTTAACTTTCTCTTAACAAGAGACTTATTCGATTAATCATTTTCTTGGTAGACAAACATCTTTTTTTAATAAAAACAAACCCAGGCTCTGTATCACATTATTTTAAATTTATTGTTATACCATATTGTATACATAGTTTATAACATTAATTATTAATATAAACTCTTAGACACCATTAGTTAAAATTAAACAATTCAAAATTCTTTACAATGTACAGTTTCAGTCAAAGTAATAGATTAATAGGAAGTTTTAGTTGAGCGTGTGTTAATTAATACATAGTTCATAGGGTTAATATATTATTAACAGTCGATAGTTAATTGGTAGATTTAAAGAAGTGGATGACAAAATAGAAAATGAAAGGAGTAAGCATATATTGGAAGAGATGAAGATATTTCAAGTGCAAACTTTAAACTTAAAAATAGGAGAACAAAGATGAAAAGGAAGGAAAAGATTAGAGTAAACATTATATCCCTACTCCCTTCATCCCTATTCTACTTATTAATAAACAGGCTCTGGTCGTGATCCATTCAAAGCGAAAATAAAATCCACGAGGATAATATGTAAATAAATTCGTATTTTTTCCGTACACGGCCTTTAGCGGACTAATTTGACCCATAATATCTTGTCAAAACAGGATTTTATTATTTTTTTCAGAACGTTGAAAGTACATACAAAACAAGTGATAATGATTCCAATAGGAATAGAAGGACGTGCTGGGAAGACCAGTAAACTCAGGAAACGTAGCTTGTTCACAGGTCTTCACAAATACTGTTGGTATTTTTTACGTCTATTAATAGAATGATGAGTCGAACCGAACTAAAGAACTATGTGGCGTATATTCTCTATGTAAATTTAGGAAACATGGAAAAGCTAGCAAAAGAGAGACCTTTTACTCCTCAGCATCAGCATTTCAAAGGGAATGAGCCAGGCTAAAAAAGTTAATGTTTCCATACAAATGTTCATTGTAAATATATTCTATACTCCTGATGGATTTAGGGACGTTTTTTGATAGTAAATTAAAGTATGTAAATTATATATAAATATAAAGTATATGGTATATGTGTCCAGTGTGTAAATCATATTTACATATATTATTGTTAAACTTTGATAGATCGTTTGTCTGGTAAAAGCTTTTTGTTTTAGATGTAAAATATTGTCACCTTCTGAAAAAAGGTTTAAGGAAGAATTTAAAAGACATATCGAGTTAAGTAGCTTTTAGAAAAGCTTACCATCGGAAATATGAAATGGAATAGGAACCTTTCATTCAAAAAGTGGGCAACATCGTTTTACGATAGAACGATGGGGAAAAAAAGGAGAATATTCCCCTCACCATAATTAATGCAAATAAGCCGAGACGCCGATCTATTCAAACTATAAATTATACACGACAATATAGACGGGTGCGTCTAAAGATTTAAAAAAAAAAGAACGCCACGATCGCAGCTGATTATGCCAGACGCCTAGCGTCGCTTCAGTCGCATGCGAAACGCCGCAACGTAAGAATGGCAGCTAGCTAAAACGGCGATGGATCGTCTATTCAAGGCGTTACTCTCCTTTAAGGAGGTAAAAATCCGGACTGATGACGATTTTGCCGACCGGCTCAGTCGTCGATACACAACTATACTTCTAGTCTTCTTCACCTGCGTCATCTCAACCCAACAACTCGTCGGAAAACCGATTTCTTGCTGGTGTCCAGCACATTTCACAGCTTCGCATCGAGATTATGCGAATACAATTTGTTGGGTTTCGAATAACTACTATCAACCTATAACTAAAAACATACCAAGGCCAGCTGAACAGGCTCGGATCAAACGGGTTAGCTATTATCAATGGGTGCCCCTTGTTCTCCTTTTTCAAGCAGCAGTATATTTCATTCCATGCCTTCTTTGGCGCTTTCTCAATAAACGAGCTGGCATTGATGTCGGCGCTATGATGGATGCTGCAAAGGTTTGCCAACGATCCAGTCATACGGATATGAGAGAGAAGACGTTAAGATATATTGTCAACCAGATGGACAGGTACCGATTTAGTATAGTATATTTTACTGCATGAGTATCACTAAGCTGTAGAATTATTGACGCAAAACCGCACTTTTTTTTTCCATGAGAGTTCTCCAAATCAATTTGCATCATATTACTGTTTAGGAAAAAAAAGGCAAACAAGTCGTACAACTTTTATTTCCCCATTTTCAGACTTTTACTTGTCACTCTATTTATATTTTATAAAGTTACTTCGCCATCTTTCTACAACTAAATGCCAAAAATATATATAATTTGGTTTTAAAGATACTTATCGATTTCAACGCCCTCTGTCTTTGTTAAATTTTTTGGTAAATTTACCTTTAAATTTAAAATATTCCATGTAGATTTAGTAAACGAAATGTCAAAGAGTCAGATGTAAAATGTTAAGGTCTATATCATAATACGCTTATAGTAAAGGCTTAAAATATATTTTTTACGACGGATATTAATAGTATTTAACCCTTTTTATCTAGTATTTTCCCCAGCAATTTTTAACATTGTTAAATATTTACTATGGATTCTTACTTCCGGTAATATTGGTATTAACACCTAAGCTACTGATTTCTCACTTGTTTTCTCTTACTAATGAGTCTCCATTTGGTCAATAGTATTAAGCTTGCACATAAAAATTGAGCAAATAATTTATTTAACTTATTCTAATAGATTGAATTATCTTGGTAAAATAATTCATTTTATTAACTGTTTGGTCGAATATTGAGGTGCCATCTGCTAGTTAAGCATCCTACAAGCAGAGCGCTTTGCTACAGTTTGGCAGGAATAGGCCTAAATAAAATGACGTTGATAAATTATCGATCGATCGCGTCATCTTGCTATATAAAAAGTTGCCTATAGACAATATCTTGTTATATATTTGTACAAATACAAAATGTACATATTACATACATATGTGGCCTGTGTTCTTTGGATTAATTTTCATCTATAAATGTATACTAATAAATATACACAGAGAAATATACATATGTATAAATTTATATATGTGCATTTACATGAATATCTATACTACTTGAGATAAATTATGTAGATATCAACAAATTTCATTGTATACCGCCTATATACTAGTTCATATGATATATTGTAGTTATAATTTTCTTTATATGTACATGTATATATATACTGTATAAATATATATATATATATGTACTATTGTATAGACACATATAGACATATATTCATAACTTTAGTCACACCATTTTGACACACAGCTCCCATTTAATATTCTGTATAATGGATATATACACATTAAATCATTATTTTGTGTTTTTATCCATCTCAGCATCCTTCAATATCTTACTCAATTACTATCAGATTTCAAACGATATTTCTGCAATAGTATACAGCCAAAGGAAGAAGAACAGACAGCAAATATTATGAGGATAAATGGTGTAAATTTTCCTTTGTCGTTACTCATATCCCTTGCCAAATCTATCTACCTTTTAAACGATGGTAGCAAAGTTATTGATCGACCACATCCCTCTTTTCCTGAAACAACTTCTCTTCAGCAGTCCAATAAGCAGCGAATGCTGACCTTCACTTTTCTTTTTTTTTCTTTTTTTGTTTCTTCCAACTTTACCATCAGTCATCTAACAGTGGGATATGATTTGATCGATAAATACGATTTTCTTTCTAAAAATTGATGACTGTGTAAAAAAAAAATAACTACAAAATTGCCCCCATATTTTCTACTTAGTTCTTTTTTGTGTTTAAGTAGATGTTTAATGTAGTAATTATACAAGAATTAAGAGACCTATATATATATAGATATCTATATTCTTATTTATATATTATTTAGCTTACTTATTTATATATAATATAAATAAAATATGTCATATAATTATTGAGTATATTCCCTTGCTTGTTAATGTTTTCTCTAAATTCTATTTTTGAAAGAGTTAATTAAAATCCTGTTTTTCTAGTTCTCCCTTTTCCTCTCTCTCTCTCTCTCTCTATCTCTTTTTCTCTCTCTCTCTCTTTCTCCCTTCTTTTCGCTTCATAAATTATAAACTAGACAATAATTAAGTATATCGATAAAAGTGAATTTTTTCCTTGTAAACAATGCATAACAACGCCATCTTATGAAATTTAGAAAAACAAAGTTTTTTATTATATTGATATACTACGGTGTGTCGTATTATTACACACGAGATTGAACAAAAGCAAAAATAATAGAACTGCCTTTATTACTGTGTGCTTTGTGACGTCATATGATTGCTTACTATGTAGCGTGAAACTAAATGAATCATAGGTCTTATTTGATAACTAGCGTTTTAGTAATCGATGTTTGTCATAGAATGGAAGAGGTTTTCCAGTATATAAAAATAGATGAAAAATATTGCAAAATATAGTATTATGAATGTCCTAAAGAAAGTTTTATGTATGTTCACTTTACGACAAAATCCTGTTTTATGTAATCTTTATTATTTCAACCCACTTTCGATAACAGTCTTCTCGCATGTATAATTCACAACGTCCGTGCTGGAATACTATAAACAAGTTGTTTGATCTATTTGCCGAGGTTGATTTTATGAAAAGTTCCCCTAAATTATAATGTTTTTTATTGATAAATAATTTAATATTCATCGTTTGCAAACTAATAATTTCTTAACTTTCTTTATTTGAAAATTTAATATATACAATATTTAGTATTTCTTTTCTATTATTAAGCAATTTAATGGAAGCAGAATGAGGGAAAGTGTATTTATATTTATATATATATATATATATATATATGCATAAATAGAGCGAGAGAGAGAGAGAGAGACACATACTGAGAGAAAAAAAACTGCTATTTAAACTAATTTTCTTTTCGTCTAATCTGACTCTTTTTTTTAAATATGATAATCGGAAACAGTTTTCTTGTATTCCCTTAAGAATTAAAGGGTTTAGCAAGCTTTCTGAGTGAATTATTTTTGGATAAAAGGGCTAAATCGATCTTACAAGGAATTGGTCAAACTATCTTTCCATTATAAAAGCTATAGGAGGATATGGGAATAAGCCCCTGACAAAAATATTTCCCCCACGTAGAATATAAAGATGGAAAATGTAAAGTGAAAGCGAATAGGAGAGATCACTTATAAATTTTTGATAAGATATGAAATGCACAATCTTTCTCCCACAGGTATCTGCTGAAGCAGCGAGACTTGAGAACAGGCTGCTGTGTAAGGATGAAACATGCATTGGCAAACTATTGTTGTTTCGTCGGAGGTAGATTCTACGGGAATTACTTAACCTTCAGCTATCTTGTCGTCAAATTCGTCTACCTTTTCAACGCTATAGGCCAGTTATTCCTCCTCGATTTCTTCTTAGGCATCAATTATCACTGGTACGGTATTTTCGTACTCAATAAACTCATCCAGGGCGAAGATTGGACGGTTAGCGAGCGTTTTCCTCGTGTTACTCTATGCGATTTCAAAATCCGTAGTAATAATCGACTACACGAATACATTATCCAATGCGTACTGACCGTCAATCTCTTCAACGAGAAGATATTTATCTTCATTTGGTTCTGGTTTGTCTTCGTGTCTATAGCCACTTCTTTCAACTTTGCCCGCTGGGTTATGCGCGCCCTTTATTGGTCTAGTCAAATTAGGTACGTAAAGAAGCAATTAAGGTCGTTTGAAACGACCAAGAGACAAACGGCAGCTTTGACAAAATTTACGCAATTCTACCTTCGTCGAGACGGTATGTTTATCATCAGGCTCATTTCTCAGAATGTAGATGATCTGGTGGCGGCAGAAGCCATGTTGGGTTTATGGGAAAACTATACACCCGAACGGCGGATGTTGGCAGAAAAAGCGGGTAGGGCTCCTAAAATTCCAACAGCTCCAAGTGAACGGACGGCTACCGCCACTAGACATGATACAACAAGAAGGAAAGAAGTTGTTTAATCAGATTAGTATATATATATATATATATATAAATATATATACGTAAATGCATATACATAAATATATATACTATATATATACATTTATATATATTTATATATATAAAAATACATATATGTATGTATAAATATATATTTAAATACATAAATGTATGTATATATATATGTTCTGGAACTGGCTTTCCTCAATTTATCATCTTTTATGGTCAGACAAAGGATACAATTTAACATTCTGACTCTTGATGAGCCCTAAACTTATTAAAAAAAGGAAGAAACTCAATTCAGAAACTGTTTAATTTACTATCCCATTCGGCAAGTGTCTGCAACAGGGATCTCTCTCTATATATACCGTCGGCAAGGGACAATTTCTAATTAATTATCATCATACTGTGTTAAACAATACTACATTCTTTACATTCTACATTTTTCGATCAAAAAAAAAAACGCTATGTATAGGCCAAAGCAATATTTTTTTAAAACAACAAGCAACTATGGAATATACAACTTTAAACCGTCTTTTTGTTATAAATAAGCAAGTGAAAGAAAAAATATTGAATCTAATAAGACAGAGAGGAGGAAATAAAAAAACATACTTAAGATAAGGAATATAAGGCTATATATTTATTAAGAAATATACAGTATATATCTATATGTATATATATATATATGTACATATATATATATATATATATATATATATATATATATATGTGTGTGTAACTACAATTTAAAAACATAACATTTATATTTATAAATGCATTCTTAAGAAGCCTCAAAAACATCGTTTATCCATTTGATGAATTGATGAATAATCTATACAATGTTTAAGTAAAGATGAATAAAGCGAAGAAAAGGAAGAGGTTTAAAAGAAAGAAAAGAAATGGATATTATTCAATAGATAGCTGTTGAGGATTACAAGAGGGAAAAAAATTATGCCTAGTAAAAAACAAACTGTAAATTACTAGGTGTTACTGTGTCAATAGCGTGTAGCTTTATACTATAAAAACAAAATAATCGTTTAGCATTAATATTAATTGATTCTTCTTAAAGCCACCCAGAAGGGGTAATCTGTTGTAAAAGGTCACTGCTAAGCTCATGAAAAAACATCATAATTGATCATTCCCTAGTTGTGCACTATCGAATTACCCCATCGTCATTTTCTTTTAAGGCCGAATATATTTAGTAAATATATTAAATTTTCTTTTTACTAAATAATTCAAAAGAAAAGGGTAAACAATCTCTCAATGATGACCTAAGGATGTAAGACGGAAAGACTTAGAGAATGGTTAAAGAGATAAAAACTTAATTAATTAATTTGTCAAAAAAATAGAGATAGGGGAATGAAAGGCGGATAAGGTTGTATTACTTAATTACTAGGCTAGCTGTTCAAGAAAAAAAAAACAATTAAAAAAAGATCGAAAAATTTTTACATATTACTTTATATTAAATATATGCATATACAATATATATAACAACATATCTCTGTTTCATTACACTTACACTTCTATATATACAGTATATATATATATATATATATTGGTGTTTGTGTATAAGTGTATGTATGTATGTGTATATGTATATTTATACATATTTATAAAATAGGTCTATTTTATTTATGTATATTCTACCTATGTAATAAACTATGCACCGTGTCCGTTCACTGCGTGTATATTTGTATATACATGCATATGTATGTATATATATATATATATATATATATATATATATATATATGTATATGTATATGTATATATATGCATTTTAATGTTTTGTGATGCGTTTAATCTTTAAATGGAAAACTAGTTGATAGTATACATGCATAAATTAATTAATCCTGCATCCGATTTAGATGTAGGGTCTGCGTATAGGGTAAAAATTTAACCTGTATACGTATATATGATTACATAAATGTGTATAAAGTGCATATGTTTCCTTATATACAATATATATATATATATGTATATATATATATATATATGTTTATATATATACTATGGGCGTTTGTCTGCAAAAATTTCGTACAATCAGAGGTGGAAGTGGTTCTAATACTCGTCCATTTTTTGCAATTTAACCGAATTTAGGTTAATAAAAAATTCTCAGACGTCTTCTAATAATCTATTAGGTCGGGTTATATAGTTAGCAATTCTCTTATCAACAGGTTCTAGGGAATATGAAAAAAAAAACAAGAAAATGAAGGAAATAATAAATTTGAATCTCTGTTTTAGTTTAGAGTTTCTTTTCAATTCTGTTTTTTTTTTTAAAAACGAGATATTGCGTGCATTTCTATAATTATTTATAAAGAAATACTTTATTAAGCCATCGGCTTTGTTTCTCTCTTTTCATATTCTTGATATCTAAAATTGTGTTGTGATCATTTAAACGTATAATTTTGTTTTTGTTATATATTTAATTTTAAACTAATACCGCCTAAAGATTTTACGGCAATTAGGTAAAAAAAGAAGAAAAGATATGCGTATATTCTAGAAATTACGTATGCATATCTTATACTGTCTTGAGCGAATAATTCTAATCTAGAACTATAATGGTGGACTGTTTTCGGACCCAATCCCACTAGTGTATTGACCTAGATAATCGTGATACAATACATGACTTCTTATTCTACTCTTAAGGATTTTATACAGTATATATATATATAAATATATCTATATATATGCTGTATATATTGTAACAGTGTTATTATTAAAAGTCAATACTAATTTCGATATAGGGCAAACATAATTTTACAATTTTTAAATAATGTAATTTTTAAAAATCAATTTTCCTCCTTTCGCTCTTCATTCTTCAATATATATATATATATATATCTTAATAAAAGGAGAAAGAATATATAATGTAATAAATAAAACGTTTAAAATTCCTATTATAAGTAATATTTCTAATAATAAGTAATCAGTTCCACCTCTGATAATCAGTTATACTTTTTCGTGCACTCTACAAAAACATTCCTTCCACCACTCGTTCACTATCTTCGTTTGTTCTTTTAAAAACCAATAAAAAATTTTGGTGCTATTGCAGAAAAAATAATACAACGGCAGCATATTCGCACTGCACCACACCCTTTTCTGACGTCATCGTAGGCCTATCAACCGCAGCGTCGCGTACTGCATTAATCGATAGCGACTGCAATCAACGTTGTATTCAAGTAATAGACGAAAAATTTTGTTGGCGCTTTTTAAGAACGAAATTATCTTCTATCAGTTGAGGTAGCTGAAAAATACTTTCGTTGTTCCATCAACTGAAAAACTGATAAGAATTTGATTGACGTCTACGAACATTAGATGGCGTTGTCAACGCAACTAATTCCGTCTTTAAATCTTCATTTAACAAATATAATAGAGACAACTGAGATAAAAGATATATTTATTTCAGCTATTATTATTTTATTAAAAAACGGACGGTTTTGACAATTAAAGATAGTAGAAAATACATAGTAAACATCTATCTATATATGGACATTTGTTGTATGCAGTTGAAACGCAGAGAGAATAACAATGATAAATTATTTAGGAGACAAATTTTTTTAAAATTGACAGAGATGAGAAAGTATTTCTTAACGAAGCAAATTTTTTCAAGATTTGGGGAAAGGTTTATATATAGCGGATGAAACCTTTTGATCCCAGCTAAAATCAATCTGATATATGTATATACACACATACATATAAAAATTATCAATGATTGCCTGAATCTTGTGAAATTGAACGATTCCCGATATTCAAAGTTCTTCTGTTGACACGCTTTGGAATAACGTAATCTCAAGGTTTATGTTCTGTTAAAGAATCTACCATTACCTATAGCCATCTATCAATTTAACCTTAAATTAAATGGCCACCAAATAGTCTCTAGTCTGAGACCGATGTTTACTGCACGTGTTAACCTTCCTCATATTAATTTTAAAAAGACAGACCTTACTTTCTACCAATCAATAAGTTCCCTTTTAGTTTATTTATTATGATTTAAAATAAAAAAAAAACCAAGCAATTATAAAAAAGACTAATAAATGTACTTGATAACAATGATATATTAAAACACAATTCAAACATCGATGACTTCTCTTACGTTATCTTTTTTACTTCGTCTTTCATTATTGCTCTTTCTCGTAGAAGTTTTTTTTAACATTCCCCCCCCCCTCCTCTCTCTCTCTCTGTTTCCACCCCCGTTCTTTCTTTTTTTCTTTTTATTACAGTTCTTTGCCCTTTCTCTCTCTTCTTCTATTCTACTCTCATTTTTTAGTTATTTGATTTTATTATTACTATTAGAATTTGTAATTTTACAAAAAAAAGCCTTAAAATTTTCTTACAGACTCGTTTCGGAAACTTCCAATTCATCAATTCCCAATTGACTAGCATTATTTTTTCATCGATCGCTACTAGACTTCAAAAAGTACTATTCGATGGAAATGAGTCTGTACAACATATCAAATTCCGAAATTGTACAACTATAGATTAAGGAAAAATTCAATCTTTCCTTAGCTTTTACTCATAAACAGTATATATATATATATATAAATTTATATATAGAAATGAAAAGTGCAGTTTATTCTTATACTTATCAATAACAAATCTCTACCTCTCTCTATATATATATATATGTATTTATACAGGATATTTATATATCAGTATATACAAAATTTTTAAAAATTTCATTATCTCTGATTTTTATTCTTCTCTATAAGTAACTACCTCTATAAAGCCTTTAAACACGTTTTTCTTACACGGTAGTGATGAAAGGGGCCTACTTTACATTTTCTTCTACGCACTTTTAATCTAGCCTTGACCCTGAAACTGGTTAATATATAATGCTTTCTTCTGGTATGAAAAGCTTGTTCTTTCGTGAGAAATTTGTATGATGCCCCAAAATTTCAAAGATGAAATCACTTCCACATTTTTAATAGGTGAGTGATTGAGTAAGAAATCTTTTGTAAAGATTTCTTTTTTATCTTCATTTCCCTTAAATTTCTTTTTTTAGGCAGTTAAATTTGAATAATTAAATAGTTCTAATTAAAAGCTGATTTTTCTTACCTTTTTAGACTTTGTTTCAAACAATAAATAAAAGAAA